AGTCCCGTAGCCTAAAATCTGATGAAACAGCGTAACTGTGCTGTAGTGTCTTGTAATTACTGGAAATTTAAAAGTATGGTCAAGGAAGGTGCAGAAATGGCTTAATTAGATTCCCGTGTCATGTAAACATGAAACAATGCTCATCTGAATTGTGATTTTGTTTAGAACAGAGATGTTGAGGTAGCAGGACACCTGCCAGAGAAGCTGTTAAAATAGAAGTGACTTCTTCTTGATTATGTTAATTTGGTGATGGCCTTATTAAGAGGAGGACTCTTACATCTTTAGTCTTAGATCCTTAGAAAAATAGGCACATGTTTACCTCATATGGATAAGATCACTGACCTCGTGGGAACCATCATGGTTTGTATCTGCAGGACTCTTCCACCTGGAAAGTCACACTGCTGTAAACATCCGCAGAAATCCCAGCAAAGCCCCGAAGTTCATGAATAACTGAAATAAAAGCAGATTTGATGTTATACAATACAAGTGACAAATCAGCTACATGACCACTTCAGATTTGCAGAAGCTACAAAGAAATCTGTGACTGTCTTGCAGAGGCTGAAGATTGAGCTGTGCCTCCAGCTGAGGCAGCAAACAGCCACTGAGAGACACAAGTTCCCAAAGGAGCTGCGTACACAACCTCATGTTCATTGCTTCTGTGACAAAATGCTGTGTGTTTACGGCAGAAAAGCAAAGGTTTCCATTCTTCTTCTTTCCAATCTTTCCACATACAAAGAGGAAAATCCTAACGTGAGAATAGGTATAGATAAAAGCATTATGATTATTTGTGCAGTGCAATCCATGGAGATTTGATGAAAACTATCAGGAATATTGTTTATAGAAAAGCTCACGACTATGGGGAGGAAACAAACTAAATCTACTTGTAATTCTCTCCACTGCCCTTTGGCTGTAAAAAGAGCAATAAAGAGATCAAAATGGACTATTTTGTCTGCAGCCTCTTTCCATAGCTAACTACAGTTATACATGACATACGTCAGCCAGCAGCATATTGAATAAACAGTGGGTGTTAAAAATACTTTCTACCCCAAAGTGCAAAATAAAAGCATTAACAGGTATGCTTACATAATGCAAGGAATTGGCTTAGCTTCACAAATGCAGGCATTCAAAACTCAGAGTACAACGGGTTTTGGTCCCAACCTTTCACACTGATGTATTTCCATCAACTATCAAAGTTCTGCAATATGACCTTCCACACACACTGGCACTGATTGTCACACACCACAGTATCTACAGATGATAGAATGGAAGCAGTTTTAGCCTCAGTCCTGATTTTGATAATTTCTACAGTCTCATATTAGATCCTATATCACTCAAAGTAACTATTTTGCTGGAAGCTAAGTAGATATGTATGGAAGCTACATTTCTCAGAGATCACTCTCTTGTTAATGAGATTTGGAGGGTTAAAATTCGCTAACAAGCTGTGATAAAGGCCATTACAATGGACATCAGAAGTGCTGGAAAACACATCAGCCAATCAGAATTCTCTCGTCACATCACTTGCTCCACAACATTGTGTGTAATTGCACAATTACACTATCTATAGACAGTGTTTGCCCCCAAATAGATACGTATCAAGGCAAAATACTGCTGTATTCACTCACAAAGGTAAAACTGAGCTATGTTTTGGTTTAATTGGATAAATTATGAGCAGACTGTCCGTTTGTGTTTCCTAGTGGACTCCCTTTGTGACTTTGCCAGCTCTTAAAATGCAGATAATAATGGCTCTGTATTCTGTGTTATAGTGGCATGTAGAAGCCCCAGGCCCATCCTCTCAGCTGTCATTAGAAATACAGCAGGGAGATCATCTCAGCCTCAAAAAATATTACTTTCAAATGCATAGCTTCATTTAGCACCTAAACCTAAGACCCATCAAAGTACAAGAAGGATGCTGGCAAGCTGAGCAGCTATATCTCCAATTTCTCCAGAATCTAAACTCCAGAATTACTCAGTAATATGCCATCCTAAAAATTACGTCTGAATGCATCAACAAAAAATAGAAATAATAGCAATGAAAATAATACTCAATAAAATAAAGTTGGGCTACCAGCAAAGCTTCTCTTTCTGATGACACACTTTACCCTAACTAACCTGGACACAGAATTTCTAGCAGCAAAGGCATCTTAAAATGAGCAAGTCAGGCACCAGGACCTCCAGAATGTTTCCCTTACCTTAGCCATGAGGAAGGGCCTTTTTGTCCGTTACATCCATGCATGTAATCAGTGATTGTGCCTATTGTAGAACTCAGATTCACCATCTGTACGCTCCCAAGTGGCCAGGCGAGTGCTAAAACCCCATCCCTATGGGATTAATCTGCAATTTCACACTAAATGATTTTTAAGTGTAATTTGTTACAATACAGTATTCTAAAAGAAATTAAAAAAAAAAGCAAAAAAAAGGCAAACGACAACAAACGGTCAGTGCTTTTGCACTGTAATGAGAGGAGGAAGCTTGTAAAGTGCCTGCGTTAAAATGGGTCTTACAGAATCCACTTCCACATTGGTTTCATGTAGACATGAAAAGATCTTGGTAACTGCAATAGCTGCTTTTTTTTTCTGAGGGAAAGAATACAAAACCAAACCCAGAATCTGTGCACTGAGCAGGGGATGAAGGATAAAGTACTCGCAATCTTGTCTGGGGGCTGAGAATTTGCACAGTGAAGTTGCAGTTTGTATTATAAATAGAATATTTCAGTTTTATATGAGGAGGGATGTAAAAGCATCAAGTAGACAAAGGAGGGCAAAAGGATCCACTCTTCCACACGAAACAAAGCTGGCTTTAAGGAAAGCAAGGAAATGTCTCCTTTTTAAGCAGCACCAACTGCTTTGAGAAGCACCTCTTTTCACCAAGCAGAGGGCACTGATCTTGACTCACACAATTATTTTCTCAAAACATTTCAGATGCTTGGCCAAGGTGGAAGAAAACTGTAATCAGAAAACATGCCATGTGAGCAGTAAGAGACTGGGGGTCAGGACAAGTCAACATCCTTGTATCAAAATGATGATGTATTAACAAGGAGCAGTTTTCCAACCCTGCTGTCGTCAATGTGGCAGCTGTGGCTCGCAGTCTAAGCAGGTCTGAGGTAGGGGAAACACTTTGATTTTAAAGCCTGACCACGTGGAATGCAGAAGTGATCGAAGTCTTTGCAGAGTTATCCTAAATCTTGGCTTTTGAGGGTTCCACAACTCTCTCTTGTTAGTTTTGACTGAATCATCTGAAGTACACTTGAGAGTGGGGAAAATAAAACAAAATCGCTTTATGGTGACCTCACTTCATAGCAAAACGGATCCAGTTCAACGTCCAAAGCAAGCTGCTACAGTTCAGATGATAATTCACAGAAATTAATGCTCATTTTAGGATAAATTCACAGACAAGGAAGTCAATGCCTTTACAAAGTGAATTCCTTGCTTTTCTTTGTAGTTTTCTTCCGCTATCTGTTACTCCAGAGAAGGAAAGAATTTAACTGCTGAAGATCGTGTTATTTTAGAGATCACGTGTGAAAACTTTCTTCGTAACATTCAACCAGAACCTTTCTTGCTGCAACTGGCTAAGCACTCCGTGTTTGCAGAACTAAGCCCTTCATCCCTTCACATTTCAGTTTAAGCTCCCCTAGCGAGTAAGATGGGTTATCAACCACCTTCCTGCTCCATACCTGTGGTAATCCGGCCCTTGGAAGCAGGAGGGGCGCAAATCACCTGCACGAGGGAAACGAATCAGGTGTATTGCCGACATTTGGACAACATTTCCCGGGATTGTCCCTCTGATGGTCTGCCGTGACAGGACGAGGGGAAACGGCTTCAAACTAAAAGAGAGGGGAGATGCCGATCGGATAAAGGCGCGCGTTTTGGCACCGAGGGCGGTGAGGCGGCGGCCCAGGGCGCGCGCAGCGGCGGCCTCACGGCGCCTCCCCGCGTCCGCCGCTCCGCGCGGGGCTCCGCGCGCCTCCTCGGCCGCTCCCGGGCAGCTTCCCGGGCTCGGATGGGGGGTGGCGGAGGCGGCGGGCCGAGCGGCGGGGAAAGCAGGGCGGCATCGGGCGGGGCGAGCCCGGCTCGGGCGGTTCTCCCCTCAGAGATTTCATTTTCCCCTCCTGACACTCAAACCGCCGCCGCACGTTTGAATGCCGCCCCCCTCCTCCTCTTTTCCCCCGCTCTTCTCTCCCTCCTCCTTTTTCTTTTTTTTTTTTTTTTTTAACCCTCTGGAAAGTTGCGAGAAGTTCGTCTTGCGCTTCTTTTTTTTTTTTTTTTTTTTTTTTTCCTCTCTCTCTCGTCACGACCCGCTCCCGCCGGGCGGAGGGGGATCAAGGGGAGGCGTAGGGAAGGGGGCTGGGGGGGGGGCTGAGGGGGGCTCTGAGGAAACGCGCTTCCCCAGCCCTGCCCCGGCCCTGACCCCCGGCCGCGCATGCTCCAGGCTGGACAGCTCCTGAGAGGGAAATTTAAAATCGGGGCAGGAGGGCGGCTGTGCCGCGGCGCCCACGGGGAGCTCCGGCCCCGCACGGCTCCCTCCGAACCGCCCGAGGAGGACCGAACCGCCCCCCGAGGGCGCGCAGCGCCGCGTTCTGACGGCCGCCAGGTTGGTGGGATCCGGGGGTCGCGGGTTCGGGGCCGCCCTGGGGCACGGCGGGGCTGCGCTCACCTGAGGGCGGCCCGCAGCGCCGGGCGGTGCTCGGGGCAGAGCTCGCGGTGAATCGCCGAGCGCGTTGGCTTCGCCCTTATGACAGCGTTTTTTAGCTGGTTGTGTGGCCTAAGAGCGGGCAGCGCGCTCGGAGGTGGCGCCTTTGGTTCTGCTTTCCCATCGCTTGGGGTTTTCGGTTGGAATTTTGTCGGTCCGTTCCCCGTGCTGAAGTGCTGGATAGCTACTGCGTCTGTGCCCATAAATGTTTTCTTCGGTTTTATTTCTTCCTCTCCCACCCCCCCCCCCCCCCCTTTTTTTTTTTTTTTTTTTAATTTCCTAAGGAGATGATAGAAAGCGACCTCCCGTCCACGATGTCAGGACTCATCCGGAGCTCAGGGCACAGCCAGCACGCTGCCCAGGAGTACAGGTGAGGGCTTTATTGATGGAGAACCACACAGCACCACCAAAACCTGCCAACGGATGGCACACAAATGATTCTCACCGTTTCCTTATGCGACCCTGTTCTAAAAAGCCAGCTGTGTCATTTCTCTTGCTCCTCTTGCTCTTCTCGAGCTGAACAAAGTGGAGAGCAGCTATAGCTCATTGCTTACTTAGAGTGATTCCTATTTAAAGCAATTTGATGCTAAGCCATATTAAATGCACCTTCCAAGCCACGGGCTGACCTCCCACTCTCTCTCTCCTGTATGAGTGTTATCAGACAACATGTAGATCAATTATTGTTAATTTAGAATTATCTAAGAGTTTCCTTTCAGGTTGCATTTTGCATTATTGTGCAAAGACTGAATCACATGCAATAAGCACCAGATAATTTTTCCATTAAGACAAGCAAAGTACATACTTTGTACTTATGTATGTACATACATACATAGTACTCCAAAGCACTAGTTTATATATATATTAGTTCTACTAATATTGGTGAGAGCAAATCTGGTTTTGCCAACAGCCTCTGATAATTTTTCTATACCAACACACATCTTTCATCATGCAAAGGCATTGTTAGAAGTCATGGGATAGTTCTGCATGAATTACAGTGCGCTGGGTTAAGTTAGGTTACATCTTGTCACATGATGCCAAGTTCCAAGAAACACATAATAACACGATCTGGCTCTTACAATAAAGAAAAGGATCTCTTTTTTTTTTCCTTTTTTTTCTTTTGTTGTTGTTGTTTTAAAATGAGGAGTGAGAGCTTCTCTCCTCCCTCCCAGCCTGAGGGTGTTTTCACACATCTCTGTGGGCACCAGTGCTCAGCCGCAGGTATTCTTCTATCAGCCTCTCTCTATTCAAAATGCAAACACTGCACTGCAGCCCCTTGCAGCTCAACAAGTGATTTGTTATACCCTCCTCAGCCACTGTGGAAGAAGGGTTGTGGAACTCTGTTTTGCTGTTTATTAAAGCATTCTTTGCTCCAGACGTTTTGTTGGCTGTGTAAATATTTGTAAAGAAATATTCAGAATTTAATGAGGGGTGTGTATGAGAGAGCTTTCTGGGTGCTTACATTTAAGTCTGTATCAGTGCCTTGAAGAGCACACCACCCTAACAAAGACCCTTATTATGGGGAGAATTATTCTTTAACTCATTTTAAAAAGCCCCCCTTTTTTTTTTCCCTTTGAGAAAGATTGGATTTATCTTAGTGCCAATAAAGGAATTGTAAGAGTTTCTCCTTTATTGGGAAGTCAGCTCCTTTTAAAAACTACTTTTAATCTCTGTTAAACATTCTGAACTCGAAGATCAGAGTTCTCTGAAGTTTTTAACCCATTTGTGATTTCTTTACTGCAGCTTTAAAGTGAATTATTTGACCTCATTTAATAGTGGCAAATTCTGATAAAAATGCATAAAATCTGAACTGCACCATAAATGCAGAGCAGTATTTGTCCTACTTCATGAGAAAACACTTTGGATTATGTAAAAGAAAATCTTTTAGACTGAATGATTTTAAGAAAAGAATAGACCTGTCAAATTCTATCAGCTCTGTTTACTCTCCTGCTGTCACCACAGTCCAGCACTGGAACCCACAGTCCCGAGTGCTCCATGGGGGAGCATCAAGGCTCTACAAAATGGGGAATGGCCTCCAATTAGTGAGTGGGAGGCTGGGTCTGGGCTGAGAATGCTCTTCTGTCTCACTTGGAATCTTTCAATTGGGCAATTGGACTTAGAGGAGAGCAGGCTTTCCTGTGAGGCTGCAGCAGAAAATGCTGAAAAGGAGGAGAGCGTGTGTGCATGTGAGCTGGGGATCAAAGCAGTGAATACCTACACGTTTTCATGCACGTATGCATAGATCTCAAAATGACTGATTTTTTTAATGGAGAAAAAAAAAGAAAGAAGAGGAAAAAAATCACTAATTTTAGCAGACATTAGAATTCTCTGGATCTAAAGCATCTGTAGCATATTTGACATGGCAGCCTAATCCTCCTAACTACTCTGTGCAAAGACCAGGGCTGTTTGCACCTTGATAAAATTATTTTGGGCAAACATCTCTTCTGTGAGCTGTAAAACATCATGCTGTCTGGGAATGATTAGGGCCATGGCAGCTTCCCCAGCTCCTACATTTCTCTGGGACTGTCACTGCCGGGCTGTCAATGCAAAGTAAAGCTGCCTATTAGCCAAAAAGTGCCTCTATCAACTTTCCCAGAGAAAATACTGCTACCTTCAGTATTTTCATAACTGTAGCAGTGACAAGAATTGCTGATGATTTCATGTCACATTTTGGGGAATAAAGGCAGAGAATCCTAACACTGGGATTTTTAAACTTTCAAGACTTCAACACTTGGCTAATTCTAATGAATAACTGAATATTGTGCTGCAGTGTAAGTATTTTGATGTGGAATCAGAGTACATGCTTACCTTGTAGTGGTGCTCCTGTATCGTTTCAGCACAAAGCTATGTGAGTTATAGGAGCCCACTCAAAGACTCTAAACCAATGGAGAACTCTCATAATCTTCAATGGGCTTGGAGCTGGTCTTCGAGTTATTTATTTGCTTTGTGAGTGCTTCAGGAAATACTGAATATAAGTAATATAAGCAGTACTGAAATTTGCAATTCATTTTCTTGCAGTTTAGTTTTGCTGAGCATTAATAACTGGTGCAAGAGAAGTAGAAGATCTACTGCAATGTATACGAGTGCAGAATTGGATTTAACATGAAAACCTTTAGGATTTGGAGCCCCACTGAGGCAGATGAAGGGAAAATAACAGATTTACAGTAGTTTACTTCTGGCTTGGCTAAAGTAGGCTTTTACGTGACTATGAAGTATTCAATATATTAGAAGACTGTCCTTCCTCTTCTTCCCATTTTAACTGTCCCTTTGATTCTTAAATACAGTATTTATACGATATTTAACTGATCAGACAATCTAATTCAGTTCTTTTTCTGTAACCTTGAATTTCTACACGCACAGTTTGGCATCAAATTGTGCTTTAAAAGCTTTTTGGGTTAAGCTGACCTTTAGTTCATGTCCTGAACAGTTATGGTTCTACTTTCTCTAACCATTGATTCAGCGACTGCTTAATCCTGGCAGCAAATCCCATAAGCCTTGGATTGCCATGTCTACAGTCTTCACAGACAACCAACACGTAACCACTGCGTTCCCTATGTTCTAGACATGACTAGACATGACATGGCGTTACAGAGGTGAAAATGGTGGACAGTCTTTATCTTTTATGGCACTCGGGACATTTTGGCTCTCCTAAGTGGTAGTCTCATAGCTGGTTTTGGAGCGAGCTACAGTTGGGTGTTTTCCACCATCAATCCTGTGGATAGATGGAGGCTGGGCTTTGCACGAAGTAAATTTCTGCAGACAAAAGGTTACAGATGCATAACTAACAACACCGTAATTGTTCCTGAAGAAAATGTCAGTGTCCATTCCCTTGACACCATGTGTGTCTGACAGGGAGTGAGATAATGACTCGATGTGTCGGAGGAATTTCATCACAGGACTTACTTCATTCTTTCAAAAAAATGTGAGAAACCTCCTAGGAATCAGTCAAACTGAGGCTGCAGTGGATTGATTTAAGTGGATTAGCTCAACTGTTTCCTATGCAGTTCCTGAAATGTGCTAATCAGTATTAATAAAAAAAAAATAGTGGCCCTTGCTTCTCATATTGTCTTGCAATTGCTGCCAGAGCTGGGAAGGACTGGTTGTAGCTGGGCAGTACCTAGCAAGATTCCGAGGCTATTCTGTTTCCAATGAAACCAGAACTGAGCTCCTGTGTTACCTCATAAAAGGTGCTTGACCTTCAATTCAAGACAAGGAAGCAGAAAACTTGCCTTTTTTCCAGCATTCTTGTGAGAAACCTCACGTGCTCAGGGCTCCCCGCTCTTGTTTTGCCCACTGAAAAAGTCTCGCCTGTGCGGAAAGCGCAGCACAACTTCTGCAAGGGAGACAGGTCTGACAGCAGCGCAAAGCACAGCATATTTCATGTCCCTTTTACACTGGATTAACTATCTGCACAGGATCCCAGGCAAGTAAATCAGTTCTTTGCTAATGAATAGCAGCTGAAGCAATGTTAAAGGAAAAAACAGCTTCCCCAATAGACAACGCTGCTGACCGTTACACAAAACATTCGTGTAGCATCAGATGCTTCAACACGTTTTTGCATCAAGAAGAGACTTATTTTGACATTAGTTACAGCTCTTTTTTTCTTTTTTTTTTTTTTTCCCCAACAAAACATACTGTAGATTAAGATACAGGCTGCATCTGGGAAATCTTAACCTACAGGAAGAAAGAATGACTGTGTGGGTGAAGCAGAGCAAGGAGTGAGCTCTGGGTTTGCTGCTGACACTGCTGCTCACTTCCTGTTAGGCTTAAGCAAATCATGTAGGTCACTTGTAATTCAGTTTCCCTTCATCCCATACCAAAATGAGGTAACGGGGTGTTGTGAAACTCCGAGCTGAGATGTATAAAAGTCTCTTACAGCACTTCTATAACTGGTTCTTTTAGAGGATAAATATCTTTGCAGAAGGTTTTTGGAGAATCACCTTCTCTTCTGAGCCATGGTGTTATGAAAAGGAGAAGAGCAACACCTGACAGGGTAATTATTTGCTTTTTGCTTTGGTTCATCTAATCTAAAGCTTCCCCAGTTGTAGTTGAGGAGGGATGTTCTGGTTGTTCCTGGACCGCTGCCTAATTTCTCATTTCCAGCAAGGCCAGAAATTACTAAATTTCTGAAGACAGGGAGGAGAAAGGCAGGCTGGGCACTTTGGAGTGGATGGGTAGTGGGATTTCAAAAGGCAGAGTGGGATTGCAGACCAAAAGCAGCAGTGAGAGCAGCTGGGACAGAGCAAGGAGAAAGGGGACTGATGTCTGTGCAGTGTGGAAAACAGACCCTGGTGCAGGGAAAGGGGGAAGGTGGGAAGAGAAGTGTAGGTAGCAGGGAAGAGCAGAACCGTCAGTGAAGAGCGAAAGAAGACAGGTTGACTCAGTAAAACAGAATAATTCTCACCATGGAGACAGCTGAAGAGTCACAAAACACTTCTGTTTTCCTTGTGTTGCTTTATGTATCAGAAATTGCTGTGCTTGTTCTGAGGCCGTTACATAATCCCAGACAAAAGAAAACAGTTTCTGAGAACCAATTCAAGAGAAAGTTTTTGTAGGATTCTTGTTGAATCGTCGCTCTCTGGATAAACCATTGCAAGCAGCTAATTAAGAATCTATCACTGCTGACTGCCTCTGCTCGAAGTTGCATTACTTATGCTCCAGTGTCAGTGCTGGCAGGGATAATGAAAATTTTCCATTGAGAGACATTAGAACACTATGGTCGAAGTTGAATATGCCATGCAAAACAGCCGTGGTGTTTTGGTCTGGGTTTGTTTAGAACAGTGGCAATGCTGAGTTGCTGCCACGCTCAAATCCCTTTGCACCAGACTCACCGTGCAACATCAACCAGTTTGAGTGCTTTGCAGCTTTTAGAGACAGACTCCATGCAGGCAGAGTCCTCTGAAGGGTGGAGGGCACAATACCTACAGAAATATGTCACTTTGCATGCTGTATTATAAACCAGAATCCCCAGTTATTGGCTAACCCACCTAGAGATAAAATATTTGAAGGCATACTTGTCACTGCCAGGCTTTTCTTTAGCCTCAGCAGGGGTGTTTGGCAGGCTGGTCTATAGCACCATTGAAGAGATGGTTGCTGTGTTCTCCGAAGTCAAATTCCTCATGCACCAGAGTTTGCAGGTGTAGAAGTGGCTGGATCACCTGCACAGCTGCTCCTGCACTGATGAACTGCATGAGATTCAGCTCAGTAGATCCAGCTCAACACGAGGTTCACGGATGTAGATCCAAATTCAGTTCTAGCATTCCAGGCTCCTGCAGGGTTGTGTCAGGAAGGAATTTCTTTCCATGTAGCTAACTGTTTAGTTGGTGTCTCCTACCTGTATAGGAGCTGTTTCAGATAGCAAACGTGGCAGTGTTTTGCACTGCTAACAGACTCAAGTGGTCTTGGTCATAAGTGCAACCAATGCAAGAGTCCAATTCCACGGTGATTGCTGGCAGGAAAGTCTATAAGGTCAGCATAAGGGGATTCCTTTCCGTGTTATTCATCCTAATTCAAGTAAACCTTGTGCAGGCTGGCTGATGGCCAAGCTCTGTTGGAGCTTATCTCAAGTGGGTAAATATTTTGGGCAACGTATAATAGAGCAGATAGCAATGATGAGTGCTATACCGAGCACTTCTGTGTCGTGTACTGTAGATCTCAGGGTGCTTTTCAAAGAAGGCCAGCATCCTCTGATACACAGAGAGCTGGGGCATAAATCTTCAATATCACATGGGTTCTTACTAATGCAGTTACCTTTCTAGGGTAGAAACACATAGACAGGTTTTTTTTCCTGCAGAGGGTTGAAAGGAGAGGGCTGAAAATGGAATTGCATCATTTCACCACACCTTTAAAAGACAATATTATGTTTGTAACAACTTTGGTGCAACTGGAACCTTCCTGCATAGGACGTAGCTGTTGAGCTTATGCACCAGACAGCCCTGGGGAATGTGCAGCTGGGGACATTTTCGGCAGCGTGCATTAATTATAGCGTATCACTATTTATCTCATTTACATGCATTGAAAGGAAATGGCTGCTTTTACTACAGTGCCCCATTGTGCCAGGAGCTGTGAACACCCATCTACAGGCAGGATCTCTGACTCCTGAAGTTTACCCTGAAATGTGAGACAGAAAGGATGGCGGAGGGGAGTGGAATCTGAGCACGTGGTATTACAGTGTGTGTTTTTGCATTAGTAGCTGGCCTGGCACTGGTGCCTTTTTCGGGTCAGAAAGGTTGAACCCTATGACATTACAGGGTTAGGTATTACTGTATTACTCTCTTTCCAGAGAGAGTCAGATGAGCATTTTTCACTAAAATCAGGAACGCCTTGAGCCTGTGTACTGTGAGATAAGCTGGGTTTATGCTGCGGAATAAATCTGGGCGCTTAAAACACCTTGGAGAACAAATGGATGCACTTTAAGCAGCCTTGCCTTCTTGAAGGTATATGAAATTTCAGCATTGCTTCAGTCTTCAACTGTGAAATATTTTTTCTCATTCTGACAAAACTTTTTCTTTTCCCCTGTGATTAATGAGAACAGTTATTCCGACAACTACCAGTGAAAACATGTAAGTGAGCAACCAGGCGTGCTTTTAAAAGTCTTGAATCCCAACAGCTGTTCCATGCTAGCACAGAGAAAGGAAGACATCTTTGTGTTGGACAAAGAACTGGCTCACACACTTTGCCTTGTTGTTTGCCTCTACCATTGCATCTTGGTGTCTATTTGAAATGGAGCTCAGTGAGTGTGACACCGACTTTAAATTGGGTATTAAGAAGTTGTTGACAAGGAGGGCAGCGAAGAACTGGCATGGATTGACCAGGGAGGTGGTGGTGCTCCCTGTGGACACCCGTGCTCAGAGGACGGGGCTGTGAGCACTGATGGAGCTGTGGGTGTCCTTGTGCGCCGCACTGCAGACCAGACAGCCTTTGGGTCTCCCTTCCAACTCAAAATGCTCTACGATTCTATGAGGGAGCTGCATGTCTCCCAGTGATGCTGAGGGGCAGGCAGTGTGATCTTCGGGGGAGGATCATCCAATTTTGGATAGCACCCAATCTTGCAGAGCATATCACCAGACCTCTGCACGTCTGGGAAGCGCTATGCGAGTCTCCACCAGGATAAGCAGGGAAACAGGGACCTTCTCTCCACTAAAAGACACTCAGGGAAGGCTGCTGCACAGCCCCAGCCCCACTGCACGGAGATGCTCAGAGAAGCAGAGGGCATGTGGAGGATTCATGGGCTGACAGGAGGCGTGTGTGGTGGGTGCTGACCCTCGCCGCCCATCTGACCCCGCTGTTTGTTGAGGGGGCTGACTTGTCTGGGAGGACTGGCAGGGACCGGGGTGCCAGATGGCATGTGTATGCGTGTTGTGTGTCGGCTGTCATTCAGCCAGATTAATGTGGAGTTGGTAAAAAGGAGGAGGGGGGAGAAAAACAATTAAGCAAGAATCCCAAAAACAATGGAGGCCACGTGCCACTGGGCAACAGTCGTTTGCTCCACAATGGGTTATCGGCTTACAATGAATGGGCCCAACTGTTGCAAACGACATGAGCCTGCCCAGTTTTCAAATCATTTAATGCTCTTGTTTTCTTCCAATCCAGCCAATCTCTGGGCCGGGAGAGTGGTCACCTGATATTCTTTTCCTGTATTTAAGTCCCAGGCCTCACAAAATAACTGAACAGTGGTAACCATGGCAATGCTAATTATTGCACTTTAACTACAGTACGAGAAAGAAAATGCGGTAGGCTAGGAGAGAGATGTGAAGATGTTTCTGGCCAGGATTTTAACTTCTGGCTCCTGCTCGTGGCTTTTTCTTTTTTCCTCCTTCTTTTCAAAGCCTTTTTACAAACAAACAAATGACATTCTGCTTTCAGGATTTCCCAGATAACAATTTCTGGAACTTCTGATGTGTGTTTCAGGAAATCACAAACAGAGGGGCTGAATGCCCCTGGGCTGCCAGGTATTAGAGTTCTGTTCTTGTTCTTTTGAGCTGCCTTGGAATCATATGGAAGGTAAAAGATGGTTCAGCAAGAGACCAGATTTCTTTAAGACTTCTGCATCATTATTTGGCAATAAACATGCATTAGTGCCACGCAGCTGGCTTCAACACATCTATGAGAGAGATTGTTTCTAAGCTTCATGGTTCCTTGTTAATGATCAGTAACTTCATATCTCTGAATGGAAAAGATCAATGATTCATTATGTGAAATTTCACTCATGCACCCACCAGTGGGATGCACAGGGGCTGGGAAAAGCTCTGCCCAGGTGTTAAAGCCAGCAGCAGGCTGTGGTGGATCCGGGAACAGAAACATTTCCAAGGCTTGCTGCTCACTGCCTTTTAATGCTAATGCAGATTTGTCAGGTTAAGAGTCTGAACAGGTTTCTTCTACATCAAGGCCCTACAAGAACAGATTTCAGACAAAAGTGAAAATGACAAGTCAGATTGGGTTTTGTTTCTAGGCAGTTTCTCTTCCAGGTTCTCATGACTTCTTCCCCTATAAACACTGCACAGAATGTTTTCTTAACTAAAACATTTCAAATTGTACAAAGGAACACATGATTAAAAAGCAAAGGATGTCAGTAACAAGCCAGCTGTGAAACAAAAGGTCACATCCGAACTCTGCAAGCAGAATTCCAGCCTGATGCATTTCCCTGCTGACCTCCATGAGCTCAGGCATCCCAGACATCTCCCTTCTTACCGGGAGCAGTTTTGCAGCATCTCTACTCTTTTCTAACCTCTTGTGCTGTTTTGCAGGCTCTTAGCTTCTGATCCCTCCCAGCTGAGTGAAGATGACCTCCCCAGTGACTTGCAGTCCTTGTCGTGGCTGACATCTGTTGATGTTCCTCGGTTACAACAGATGGCCAGTGGAAGAATGGATTTTGGCCTTGGTGCCCAGAATGCAATGTTACAGCAGACAGGTAAACTGTTAGGGTGGTAAATAACTGCTATTGAAATGACCCAGCCTATTGCCCCTTTCACTTTCCTCCACACGTTCCAGCTTTCCTAGTAGTGGGTTTGTTTTAGGTACATTACTTTTTGCTTCCTGACAGAAGACCTGAAGCCTGTTGTCTTCTTATGAAACATTGCTGAATCTTTCTTTCACTTCAAGAGGCAGAGTCCTAGCTGTCACAGCAGCAATCTTAGGATCCAGCAGACTGCTCTGCTCGTTGTAGTTGCCAATGCCATGTGTGAAATTGGGCCAAGGTATTTAATACTTGTATTTCAGAGGTTTTCAACAGCTTGGAAATTAGGTAATTAATCTTTCTCATTTGTTTCAACACCGATAAAACTAAGAGTATCTTATTTACCCCATACCTGTTTGCTTCACACAGACTTACAGCATCTGTTCACTGAACGCCTTTCTTTTCTTTGTGAGCATCCTTCAGGCAAACACACTTGTTCCCCAAGGCATTCTGCCGAGCAAGCTCAGCATATCATCTTGCTTGCTTTAGAGCAGAAATCCGTCTGGAATATAGAGAGCTCTGAATTTGTGTTTTGTTTCTGGATAGTTTTTTTTCCTTTTGTAAGATACTGTGTCTGTAAGAGCACTGCGGACTGTTAAACACCTGTCATCTTTCAGTCTCTATATAACAAGTTTTGAAAGCAGCCAAAGTCAGCTTTGCAATCTGTGAAAGGTTCAGAGTTCTTTTGGGATGGAAAGCCATAGAGAGGTGTGATTATCCACTCCACACTTAGCTGCGTTGAAGTGCACCTATTACAAATAAATGTCAGCTCTCTTTTCTGAAGTGTACTTTCACGTGAACATTTATTACACTTGATTTTTTCAAAACAGGTCCTATGGCAAGCAACATGCACTCCACAGGAGCACCTGGAGCAATGATTCATGTCCAGGCCAGCCTGCCACAAGGAGTCCTGGGACTGAATTCTATTTCATCACATGGAGCCAATGTAAGAGCAACCCTTGCAACACTTCTTAGGAAAAGATATTGGTAATCTGAAGACTGACACGTCTGTTGTCTTTGTCTCTGCAGATGAGCCAGTACTCTGTAGGTGGGCAGCCCTCTCCTAGTTTGCAGACACAGCAGCAGCTCTTCCCTCCTCATCCACAGCAAGTGTTTGCCATAGCCCAGAATACACAGCAGGTACTGTTATTTACTTGTGGTCTGTGTCTCAGAGTGCCTTCTAAGAACATCTCTAGAACTCTTTCAGAAGAAAAAGCCCTAAGCCTACACACAGTCGTGGACGCTCTTCTTCTTTTCCTTTGCATGCAGTGTAACCCAGCAGCAATCTACAACACATCGTATGGCACCCAGCCACATTATCCTCAGCCTCGCCTGGCTCCTCACTCAGCCCAAGAACTGCATCCAAAACATTACCCCAAGCCCATCTATTCATACAGGTGAGTAGATACCAGCACAGCATGTTGCTCAGAGCCTGTTTTGGGATGACTTCACTGCAGGTGGGACAGCACAAGAGCATCTGATTCCGTTTGAAGGGAACACAGATCAATTCAGCCACCCGAGAGTTCTGTGGAAACTGCCTCTGGGGGGTAGCAGGACTGAACAAGCAAACTAGTTCCTGGCCATCGGCATAAAGGTAGAAAAACAGCACAGGGAAGTAAAGTCTGCAGGATCAGAGGGTGCCCTTCTGAGCACTTGAAAACTCACTGACTATAGATCCTTAGGGGGAAACAGACTACCAGGGGAATCTTGTGGTCAACCAGATGTTTGTATCTGAATGGAGATGGATCTGAGATTGCTAGACCAGGAGACAACATGATGTATGCAACCTGTTGCATATGCAACCTGTTAAATGTTTTTCTGTCCTCTAGTTGCTTAATTGCAATGGCATTGAAGAACAGCAAAACGGGCAGTCTCCCTGTGAGTGAGATCTACAGCTTCATGAAGGAACACTTTCCCTACTTCAAGGTATGCATACAGCTGGGAGTAGAACATCACTTACTTTGTTCTCAGCATATTTCTCTGACATCTTTCTGCATCTTTTAGACAGCCCCTGATGGCTGGAAAAACTCCGTGCGTCATAACCTGTCCCTGAATAAGTGCTTTGAGAAGGTGGAGAACAAAATGAGTGGCACCTCGCGCAAGGGATGTCTGTGGGCTCTCAATCCTGCCAAGATTGACAAAATGGAAGAGGAGATGCAGAAGTGGAAGCGGAAGGACTTAGCTGCTATTCACAGGAGCATGGCTAACCCAGGTAGGGCTTATATTACACTTCTGTTGCCTGTGTTAAAAGTGTCTGTTTGGCCAGGAATACACAAATTAAAACAAAAGAAAAACGAAACAAAAACGACCAAGTCCTGCACAACAGTCCTGTAGCACAGAGCTCTCAGGCCTTCCAACAACCTCTGCCTTAAACCTGCACAGCCAAAATGATCCCTGTGCTCTGCACTGAATTGGGTCACTACCATTGCTGAGGACACGGAAGCTCTCAGCATAAACTGGTCCCCACATTCTAGATGGTTATCTTTTCCCTCCATGCTAACTAACTTATCTAGCACATTATGAAGAGTTATGCTGCCTCCAGTGTTAGCATTTATAGTGTCAGCTTTTATTTATTTATTTATTTTGGCTGTTGCTCTGCAAAACTCTTTGCTCTCATTCTTATAAAAATGCATGCTTGTTTTTGAAGCTTTCAGCAGCTCGGTGTTGGCAAAAATCAACCAGAAGGTTTTCCTGTAAATTCTTTAATACACAATCTGATAAATTACATTCTCCTTTACTTAAAAACAATACTGCCACTGAAACTGCCAGGAGGCTCTCGCGTGAATCTCACCTGGGAAAGAAGCAGAATTCAGAGTGTTGCTGTGAGCAGGAGACCTTCCAAGCATGCTGCCCATGCTGGTTGGGTTGCTCTGTGCGAACTTCATGTGATTCTTTATTTTTTTTCAAGCTGTGTTAGGGGTTACTATGGAAGTTGACTAGGGTATGGGCTAAGGGGAGGGAGGTAGATGGCACTTTTTTGCTCTTTGAACAGTCAGTTTGCACAGTCAAAGCTTGCCTTTTGTACTGCTTCTCACACAGTCACAGATGCTGCTTGCCTTCTAGGTTTTATTGCAAAAGTGCAAAGCTGTGCTCACGAATGAAATGAATGAAATGCTTTGATAGGAACCTACTTGAACAAATGGGTTAAACTTCCTCTTTTCTTCCTTGGGAACGGGCATTGCATGCACAGAGGAGCTGGACAAGCTGATTACTGACAGACCTGAGAACTGCAGGCGGTCCAGTAAGCAGGCAGAACCTGAGATCTCTACCCTGACCCACATGGCAGCAGCCCAAGGCCGAATCTCCATCTCCCAGCTGCAGCCCCAACCGATCATGACGCTCTCTCTGCAGTCTGTCCCTCTGCATCACCAGATCCAGACCCAGGCTCGCATCGCGCCGGACTCCCCAGCACCTGCACAGACTCCTCCTCTCCACACTCTGCCTGACATCAGCCACAGCCCTCTGCCCCACCACCCCATGGGCCGTGCCCCTCCCGACTTCCTGAACGTGACCACAGACATGAACACGGAGGTGGATGCTCTGGACCCAAGCATTATGGATTTTGCATTGCAAGGTATAGGAGAAGGAAGCTGGGGGAGTGGAGGGCAGAATTTATACGATTGTGTCGTTGCTGAATATATATCCAAGGGCTTCAGCAGGACTCACTGGGATGGAATTAACTGAGATGAAATCTTGCGCTGGGTTCTGGCCTGTGCAGCTTGACTTCCCCAGCCTTCCTCATTGCATTTCTACCCTGTGCTAGTTAGGAAAGCAAACTACCCTCATGGTTCAAGTTCAGGCACTGCACTAGATATCAGTAGACATGTCCCCCTAAAGATCTGGGACATCACACCTCTCCATCCCTCGGAAACCATAGCTCTACTTGTGCCGTGGTTTCTCTCATTTGTAAATCTTTGGCTTATGGAGATCCTTAGCATGATCCTTGGGTTTCTTTCTGGTCAGCACATAGTAGATAGCTGCTGTCCAGGAAGGACTGGATTGCTAAAGCCCAGAGGCCTGTGGGGGAACAGATGCTCACTGCGTTTGCACTCCAGAGCTGCAAACTGTGCTGTTTCTAAGCAGCACATAAAACCCTTTAGTTAAGGACTGACCCCCTCCCCACAGTGCCTGAACAGGTTGGATGTGTTGCTGTGACTGGAATTTAATCTTTTAAAGGTAACATATGGGAGGAAATGAAAGATGACAGCTTCAGCCTTGACACACTGGGTGCCTTCAGCAACTCTCCCCTGCACCTCTCAGACTGTGACCTGGGCACTCCTGGCCTCACCCCCATCTCCAGTGGCAGCGATCACTCCTTGTCAGACTTTCAGGTCACAGGCCTTTATACCACTTACACCTCCGTGGACAACGTAGCAGCAGCTCAGTACATGAACCCTCAAGGCAACAAGCCCATCGCTCTGCTCTAAATGTTGCACCATTCCATGGACCTTGAATTCAGGGGCCAGTTTCTCCCAACCCTTAAAATCCAACCTGAAAGCAATAAACGGCTCCTCCTGCAGACACTTGGAAATGTTGGCTGTTTACTGGGACACAGCACGCAATGCCAAAATAACTCAAACCAGTGGAGTTCTGCTGTACCTTTCATCCATGGATGGTTGTGTTGCAGGGCTGGTGAGCTCTTAAGGACTTGGAAGGCATCAGTCAGCAGGAACTTCTACTAGAATGGAGCTGAGCTGAAAACTAGTCCAGTTAAGGAGAACACGTTTGCTTGACGTTCTAATCTAAACTTACTTGTTGATGTTGTTCTGTTGTCACACACACAGAGGCCAACACAACTCAATGGCTGGATCAGCACCAAGTTCACATCCAAAAAGGTTGATCTGGTACCATGTTCATCTTTCTTCTCATGTTGCCAAATGACTGCTGCCTTGAACAAAGATCACACGCAGGCTCTGGAGGCATTTGCACCTCTAACACTTTTCTGATGTAACTGTTGCTAACTTATTGTTATGAGCTAGGGGGGAAAAAAAAGGAGCAAAAAGATTATTAATGAGAAATCCATAGCAGACAACTGCTGTGTCTAGGGCTTAAAACAAAGCCCTTACCCAGGAAGGAACCGGTACTACTGAATGATGAAGCTGATCACTGGCTAGAAGCTTTTAGGAATTATGCCTATTTTTAGGACTTGTTTTAAAAAAGATTAGATTTGCCTTTTTTATAGTACTGTGCATTGTGCTTCTGTCCATTTTTGTGCTAGGCAGTATTACTATTTGTAAATTTATTTATATTTATTGTTATGAAGAGAAACTATGTAAACTGAGCACTGTTCAAATTCTTTTAAATGCTGCAGTAACCTGTTTTACATCAACTAAGTTATTCACCTTCAAAAACACCACTTCAGTCACTGTTACACTACATTTCTCTTAAATAAGCACTTTCAGTACTGTGAAACTCACTGTTTGTTTTCTTTTCTTAAATTCAGAGACCAAATATCCTAACTGTACCATTCCAATTCACCTTCCCATTCTGATTAGCCCAAGTAAAATTGTTCCTAATTTAGATTTTCAGGTTTACATACTCCACTTTATACTTGGTGTCACACGATGCAAAGAAAAGAAATTGTATGAAACATCCAACAGCTAAAAAAAAAAACAACAACCCTGAAAACGACGTTGAAATTTAGCCTTTAGTCCACTTGTAGCTCTGTGACCATGCAGTTGTATTTGTGTCTCATGTGTTGTCTGTTCCATTCAGGGCTCTGGCAGTCCCAGTCCTCGTACCTGCAGTGCATGCAGTGGGGCTGCTCACAGCACGCAGCCTCTCCAGCCCCCATCCAGGCACAAAGCACCACTGCAGCACCCAGCTGTGCCACCGCAGGGCAGCCAGATGCTGAAGCAGCCCCACCAAGCCAGCGCAGGTACTTTGTGCTGAAAGACACTGCTGGGAGAGTCAGGGGCTGGAAAACGTGCATACCTGTACCTTTCTAAGTGCGTGCATCCATGTCGGCCTCTTCCAGAAGACCGTGGTTGTCCAGGTCGTAATTTATTGTCCAAGAACAAATGTGATTACTGATCATTTGCTGCGTCATCTATGCTGTTTTCATCTTTTAAAAAATAAATATTTCTTAGCACGAAACCTGCCTCATTCTAGATGTGCTGCACTGTAATTACTGTGGCGGCAAGCAAGCTGTGCTGCAGCTCAGCATGGTCACTTATTGCTGCAAATCTCAGTACCTAAATACATGGTGAGGGATGCTATGGACCACAGCTATTCCCTTTTCTTGTGCTGCATGCTGCACAGCAGCAGTCACTATTCCCTTCTCAGGTCCTGGGTTTATACAGTGACAAAACAAAAGAGCTCAGGAACAGTTTCAGGAACAGAACAAGGAAAAGTTTCCCTTGAGGACAGTGCTCATTTTATTGGTGTTGGTCTGGGTGAATGTTTCCATCACCTCCTGCACAGTGAGCAGCAGCACTCCAAGATCCCTGACAGTGCACTGATTCCTTCCATACCAGAAAGCATCTCCTTGTGTCTTTCTCATCCTCACTATGAGGTTGAGGAGACCTCCTCCCTGCAGTCCCCAGCATAGACACAACCAAGAAATTGCCAACAAAACCCCATCACATCAGTCCCAGTGCTGCCCTCAAAGCAGCTGTCCCCCCCTTGCACTGTCACTGTGCTTCCCCGCTCAGAGCCAAAGCTAAGCCCAGTGTGATGCTCCTGCAATGGAGTGACACAGTCAGCTGATATCCCCACTGATAGCCCTACTGCAGCCAGTCCCAGAACGGCTTGATGTCTTTTCTGGCTGCCAGCTTTTTGTGGTCGTGTCTGCAGACTGCTCCCCAGTGCAGGGAAGGATGGGGACAAATGGCTCCTTGCAGTTCCTGAGTTTGTTTTAAAGCATCAGTTTGAGGCTGATCCTTCCTCAGCAGTATTTATATTTCCTTGTGCCAGTGCATGGTCAGTCCCAACACAGTCATACGGAGACCTCTCCCATCGTCCAGCTCCAGCCAGTCTTGTGCAACGTCTGGCACTGGTGCTTGTTTAAATGATTAAGGCATGGGCTTGCAACTAAAACACAGTAAAAGATGTTTAATTCTTCTAAAAATCAGCCTCTGCACCAGGTCCAGACTCCAGCTTTGGCTTGGAGCAAGCTTATCTCTGCCAAACCCAGCACCAGACGGAGAGAGCATCTTCATAGCTTAAGGTACAGACATTGGCATCCTTTATTTAGGCACAAAGTGAGAGCCCAAGGTTTCAGCTGGTGGGCTGAGGAACCAGTGCTCCTCCTGCTGGCTCAGGATGGGTTCTCACTGTCCACCGTTGACAGGAGATGAGCGACCTGAGCCTTCTGTGCGCCAGTGATGTGCTGAGCCATCTGGATGATGCAGTCCATGGCCACCTCGGGGTTGGCTTGGACCAGGCTGTGAGGCAGACAGAAGAGCGTGGCTGCCTGGGAGCCCACCACCCGGTGTCCCCAGCACAGGGGACGGCAGTGCCCTCACACACAGCTCCTGCAGCCACTCACCTCCGGATGTGCTTGAGCACGTAGTCCCGTTTCAGGTACTTGATGTTCTCCCGGATGGCTGACTTCCTGCCATCATCCTCCTTCATGTGTTTCTGCAGCCATTCCACCACCACCTGGTTGTTGTCCCAGAGGTATCCCTGGGGAGAGCAGCACCATGAATTGGGGTAGTCCCATTACTCACATGCTCTGATCCTCCCCCTTCTGCTACATCCTCAGGCTTTTCCTCCCATGGCACAGTGGATAATGGCATTGTCCTCCTCATCCTGCACATACGACACAGCATGTTGCTCCCAACCCATGTAGCAGCCATAGAGAGAGGGCTTGGTTTGGAAATCGGAACCCATGCAAGCTTCACAGACTATAGAAAATGCAAAAGATTTAGGTAAAACCAAGGCCCCACATACTTTCTCAGCTCCTTCTGTCTCCATAAACCAGCGCCGCAGCATGGACTTGATGTGGATGTGGCTCAGCTTGCTGTTGGCTTTCAGGATCTCCAGCTTCACCACCTCTTCCAGCAGCAGCCGTCGCAGCCGCCAGTAGAGGAATGAGCGGGCATTCTTCCATTCCAGGATGTCCTGCAGAAACAGGCAGAGCCCACCTTAAGCCTTCGCAGAGGAAGATGCATAAGGGGGGGTACTCTCCCCTTCACACTGCTGCTGTAAAACCCCTGCAGCAGCCTCTTCTCCGAGCTCACTGTGATGACGCCTTTCTCCTGCATGCGGCCAGGGGTGTCGTGCAGGTCAGCAAAGTGCACGGCCACCTGGTAATACATGGGCAGCAGGAGCTCCTCCCGGGCCTTGAGCTGCTTCTCCAGCTCCTTGCGCTGCCCCTCAGACAGTTCAGGTGTCCCTGCAGGACATTACCAGCTGTTGTTTCCCAGCAAGGGCCCTGCTTGGTGCTCCCATCCTAGCCACCCCAAGGCCCATGCGCTGAAGATCCTTTCCCCTTACCCAGCTGCTCCACAAGCTTGGCATAAACCTTATCGATCCTTCTCATGGTCTTCACCAGATCTTTCTTCCTGAACTTGATCTCCACTGTTCCTCCAGGCTCCAGAATGCCACCCCTGGGAAGAAAGTTTGGTAAAGCAAGGACCGATTTGCAGGGGAAAATAAATCCTGGGAAAAGAGGTCACTGCTGATAGGAAAGCATTTCAATTCAGGCAACTTTATCCCCTAAGAATTTGGGACAGAAAACTCGACAGGGTTTTGTTTCTAGATCGGGACTCTTGTCTGTTCTCCCTTCCAGCTTGCTCTGATGCATGTTAACTTGCACTGGAGAAAACCAGAGGCTGACCTGCTCTCCTTGTCAGCGTAGAGCTCCACATACAGGGGGTTGATGGTGGGGTCCATGACCACCCAGGATCCTCCCCGCAGCTCTGCGTGTGGTGGGATGTACACGAGGACAGGCTGCTTAAAATCCCGCAGGCTATCAACGATGAAGGCACCAAACTTCAGCATTTGGTCATACATGTCTGGGAGACAAAGGGACTCAGTGGCCGGACACCCTGAGTGCTGCAGGAGGGCTGGTGGCACAGCACAGCAACCTGGGCACCCTGGATACCTTTCATGCCGCTAGAAAAGCCCCTCCAGTTGGCAAAGATCATCAGTGGGAGGTGCTCACGGTTGAAATCCCGAATGGCCTGGGCTGTTTTGAAAGCAGAATCTGGAAACCAGACCTGTCCTGCCTGCTGGATTATCTGGAACAGACAGTGAGCAGCAGTGCTGAGTCTGGGGTCAGAGCCTCCAGGCACAGCAGTCAGCGGCACACAGTGCACAAGAGCTGGAAGGAGACAAAGTGAGAGCACCCTGATCTTACTGCTTTCAAAGGGAGTCAAAACATGCCAAAAAGGCCGTGCTAAGCTTTATCCTCACTTGTTCTCCCAGCCTCAGTGCTCTTCCTCTGCCTCATGACAGCACTAAGATCTCACCTTCGCCTCCGAGTCAGGGTTGGCAGGGTCTGCAGGTATTGTCACCTCCACAGTGCGGGTCTCAACAGCAATGACGCCGACAGGGAGACCTCCCAGCCTGCAGAAAGCAGGGCAGCCTCAGTAGCAGCCAATTCCCCTCCATGCTACACCCAGAGAAGTCAACCCCACTGGTCACCATCCCAAAAGCGGTGCCATGGGCAAAGATGACTTGCACTGTGCTCGCGGCATCCATGCATCAGGGGTTGGGAAGCATCCCCTGCTCACAGCTGTACCTCGCTCTGCCAACCACGACCGTCTGAGCCCACGGCTTCATGATCTCCAGAAAGCTTCCCTGGTCAAAGAAACCACTCTGCCACGTCCCCTTGAGAGCTGCAGAGCACAGAGGGAAGAGGAAAGGCACAACCACGTGCACCTAAGGGCTCCTTGCGCATCAATGTGCAGCAAAAAGTACATTCTGCACAAGGATGGAAGAGTTTGCAGCCATAGGTTGCATTTGGGCACACTGCTGCAGGGGCTTTGGGTTGCTGTCACTCACTTGGATGGGGTCTCCCTGCCAGCATCCACCTGGGGTCGTAAGGGACTTTGGAAGGGACAAAATCGATTTCTCTTTCGATGGGGTCACTTATGGCAATGACAGGCACTGGACTCCGGTTATCCTGTAAGGGGAAGCCCCAAAGGGCAGCTTACCAGCCAAGTACCCCCATAACACCCCACGCCACCATCCTGCAGCACCCTTCTACCTTGGGCATGTAGGAGAGCCACTGCAGGATGGTGTAGACTCCTTCAAAGTCATCTGGG